TTAAACATGTCTTGCACTATGGGTACAATCTCTGCTGTTATCTGAGAAATTATTTCTGATTTCATTTTTTCCAGATCCTCTCTTGTTGCCAGTTCAGAGAGTCCAGGTGGTTGAGTATCAGAGTGTTCCATCTCATTTCCCTTTGGGGTTGCTTTTGGTTATCTGGAAGTGAAGTTTTGAGATGTGTTTACATGTCTTCTCATTTTGATGGGTATGGTGGGGGAGTGCTTCTCGAACCCATGCAGCTCACCTCCTCTGCTCTAGGGGGGATGGTAGGGTGGCCTAGCATCCTGCTCCTGGCTGCTAAGAGCAGCTTACCTCCTCTGTGCTCGAGGGGGGGTGGTGGTACAGTGGCCTGGAAGCCTTCTGGGTGCTGGGAGTGGCTCACCTCTCCAGTCTTCTTTCAAAACAGGACAGAATGTGTATGGATTGATAAGTGTGATTGCAGCAATTTAGGGCACATTTGTTATCATACTTAGTGCAGAACTTTCCAAATGTTCTGTAAAATTGAAGGAGGAAGAGGAAAATGGAGGAAGAGGAGGAGGACCTCCCAGACTCTCTTGGAAGTCTGATGACTGGCAAGTACTAGTCAATCTAAATAATAAACAGAGATTCTCCAAAAATAAATGAGAATAAACATTGTATAAACTATGAGTGTATTCAAGGATGTTGAAGCAAAGCAAAATTTTTAAAGGCAGAATGAGGAGGACTATATAAAATATTCTCAGTCGTAAGGATCAATAACAAGGGTGGCATCAGTACAAGATGGGAGAAGCAGTTGCTGGACAGATGTCCTGTGGAAGTGCCCCTTGTTTAAAGTTGCAGTGGCCTTGAGGCAAGGTTGTGGTTCTAGCAGAGTCTCTGATACTTCCTGTTAGCAGGGATACATGATGCATGAGAACTCCTTCATAATATCCTGGCTTTATTTATATTTTGTCAGAATTTTATACAAGTGACTCCGTTTTGATTTTGTACATTTTTACACATCTGAAAAGATTCTGCAGCAGGTGTACTAAAAGAAGAAGAAAAGAATAATGAGGAGGAGAAGAGGAAGATGACAAAAAGAAGAAGGAGGAGAAGGAGAAAAAGAAAGAAAGATAGAAAGAAGGAGGAGGAGG